AAAAAAAAAAAAAAAAAAATCTAGAAATCAGGATGAGGGTGACAATCAAGCCCTGTATATGTCACTTCGTGCATGTTTTGCCTTGGGCGCTGGGCCCCAGTAATAAAATTTCCTCTCTAAGTTTCTATAAAAATTTAAAAAAACAAAGAGAATCTCATCGGAGGGTGAGAGTCTTAGTGTTAGGATGCATCACTCTGAGGGCATACTCACACTTAGTCTACAACTCTTCTGTATGTATCTGACCCTAATTACGGCCGGACCTGGATGTATCTGGCTGCATATCCATCCAGAAATAAGTAAAAAGGTCCTACTAGTGTGAGTATGCCCTGAAACACATGGACAATCCAAAGCTACACACAAGCACGGGTAGACTCCAGTGCAGATTACGCAAATGAGTATGAACTCAGAAAATTAAGACAAGACACAGACTCCTGGTCTGACGCAGAGTAGATCTCTCTCTCACTTGAATGCACTTCTTGCCCGCTGACGACCCAGACGACGCTCTGGACCAGGATCAGGGCGAGGACCTCGACTGCGACCAGGGGATGGCGATCCCTCTATACCAGGATCAGGGCGAGGACCTCGACTAGGGCGCGTGTTCGACGGACCAGGATCATCACGGACTCCTGGTCAGACGCACAGTGGTGCTCTCAGTGACACTCGAATGAACCGCTGGTCCGCTGACAATCTGGGCCAAGCTCTGGACCAGGGTCACCACCGGGACCTCGACTGGGACGAGAGGACGAGAACCAGGATCGTCACACACTCCTGGTTGTACGCATAGTGTTGCTCACTTGAATGAACTTCTTGTCCGACGATATGTACGCCGCTGCATAGGTGTAGTAATTGCTGCAAGTCCTAGTGGGTACATCAGCGTCAGGCAGCCAGAGAGTACGCCAGTAACTCCTGTAAAAGGTGCCATTTCTGAAATCCACGGGCCCGCTAAGGGGTACAATTACGTTAACCCCCCCCAGGTTGACAGTACTGGACCCCTCAGACTGTGACCTGAGGAAGAAGACTGAGCCGGTGGGCTTGAACGTACCGAAACTCACGGGGTTGAATAGGGCCTCGATTGGTAGAGACGCGCCTGTTGCGGACTTGGAACAGGTCTTCAGCCGGACTACAAAGGCGGACGCAAGGTACCCCTCAATCTGGCAAGCGTTGGCATTGAACCCCGGAGCGAGGCCACATTTGCCTTTGGTAGCGCCTGCACACGTGTCGCAGGTAGACGGTGGGGCCATTGCGTACTGGCTGCGGAATACTCTCCCCGCCTGTTTCTCCAGCCAGGACACTTGGGAGCTCAATCTCGTGTACACTCCAGGGAAACCAGCATCAGCGCAGCCCTCGCCGAAACTGGTGAGTCCAGCAAGGATGGGGCAACCGTTGGAGACGGAGAGAGTCGTCAAAGGACCCCCGCTGTCGCCCTGACATGTGTCAACCCTACCCGCGTTGCAGCCTGCACAGATCATCACGCTGGGCACGTACTCCGAGTAATCTGGCTTCTTGTACCTCCCACATCCGTTGGGCAAGTAATTAACGGTAGCACCCTGTAGATTGGCGGCGACGCTTCCAGCACCAGCAGAAAGGCTGCCCCAGCCGCTGATGCTAAGGTCGGAACCATCTTTCAACGGGGTGTCATCATAGGCGAGCTTGATGGGCATCACCGTGGGGGTGATCCTGAGGGCACTCCTTAGCTGAAGAAGAGCCACGTCATTCGCATAAAAGTTGAAGCTTGGATGACTCCACACGCGGTTGACACCAACTTTTGTTCCTTGCTTCTGTAGCGTAGATCCAGCGTAAACGGTGATTGACCTAGCAGGAACCACTAGCACACTGCTGTTCAACACACAGTGGGCTGAGAGAGAGAGAGAGAGAGAGAGAGAGAGAGAGAGAGAGAGAGAGAGAGAGAGCAAAAGAGAATGAGAGAGAGAGAGAGAGAGAGAGAAAGCAAAAGAGAATGAGAGAGAGAGAGAGAGAGAGAGAGAGAGAGAGAGAGAGAGAGAGAGAGAGAGAGAGAGAGAGAGAGACCGAACAAGTTGATTAGTAGAATATATGTGAGCGAAACAAATCCAAAAATTTGGTTTGATCGAAGCAATGAATGGATGAGGGAATGAAAGAAGTAATCAATAAATCAACCAACCAATGAAACAACCAAATGAAATGACCAAATCAATCAGTCAAATCCAAGCAATAAATCAGTCAAACGACCAACCGATCAAATCCAATCAAATCCAAGCAATCAAGCAATCATTCAATCAAACCAATCAAATCAATCAATCAAATCCAATCAATCTCATCAATCAAACAATCAATCAATCCAACCCATCAATGGGCCAACCAACCATGCAATCAATCCGTCCATCAAAATGTGCCAGCAAACGAACAATCAAAGAAACGAGGAGACACAGAAACGAAGAAAAAGGTTAGCACCAAAAGATCTGTGCTTTTTTCCTTCTCTTTTTTTTTGGAAATCCGCCCCCCCCCCTTTCCCCCCTCCCCTTTTTTCCTTATTATAAATGGGAACCGAGACACAGAAACAAACAAAAAGGTCGGCACCATTCTTTAAGCGTAACACACAGCAAGAGCCTCACCCGTGGCAAGTAACTGAAAAAAACAAAATTCAAAATACCTTCAAGCGTAACACACAGCAAAAAAAACTAAAAAACAAAAAAGCGAGATAACTGCCACAAAAAAAAAAAAAAAAAAAAAAAAAAAAAAAAAAAAGGAGATTATCCAACAAAACACATGAACAAAAACGTAAGTAGCTACCCATCTCTTGTTTGAGCATAAATTAACTATTCTCTTTTTTCACAGGATCTAACAAACACAGAGTCGGCCAAAACTACTCTAAAAAATAGCTAAGAAACTCCCCCGAAAAGAGCTTCTAAAAACTTAGCGTTAGCGCCTCTGAATTTTTTTCACCGGAGCGAGCGCCTCGGCTGTGGGGGATTGTGTTCTTCCCTTCTGATATTTACGAAACTTTGTACGTTTTTTGGATATAGCATGAGGGGGATCGTGTTCGTGCAGCTGCGATCAGTGCTGCGCAGTGCCGAACCCTAGGGTTGGGGTGGCAGAGGCGGTGGGGGAGAAGCTGTTGGTCTTTTTGAGTGTTTAGGGTTGGAGTTGATTTGTGTTTTAGTGTTAGGCTTAGCAATTTTAACTAGTGTTAATTAGGGTCTGATGTTAATTAGAGTTAATTAGGGCGTGACGTTGCAGGCTGACGGGTCGTCAGCCGTGGTGGGGTTAATCCAGGCCGGAGACGTATGATGTACTGGCGAGGTACTGGTGGTTTAAACAGTACTGTTACTCTACCGGGTGGGGGAAGATGAAAAGGGAGGGCACAGTTACTGGCCTATGAATCCCCCCTGGAGGCCGAAAAACTTCTGGAAACAAAATATGTTATGCAGAAAAATAAATTGAAGAAACTTTTGCCTTGTGGTTATATCCAAAAACTTTACTGAATTTGACATTAAAAAACACATGAGTTTCATAGTTGTCTTGAAAGAAAAAAAAAAAACTTTTTTGCCTCCGGAAAACTAGTTTTTGAATCTTTAAAATTCAAAGTCGAAGTCAAAAAAATAAAAATAAAAAAAATTGCGCAATGCAGATCTCGAAAAGATCTACAACATCATTTTTTTTTTTTTAAGTCTCAAAAAAGTCCACCCAACCACGGCCGGAGCCGCCGGTGATACATTACATAGTTACTGGTAAATGCTCGGTCGTTGTGTTAGCCAGGCTCCCAACAGTGGGCCCAAGCCTACACCCTAAACTGCAAGGGCAAAGGGGCAAACATGCCATTACCTCCCTCCATCCAGAGAGGTAACCTCCCTTCACGCCGTTCACGGTAGAGATGTGGAAAGCTGTGCTTGCAGGGGTCCCATGTAAACCCTTGGGAGTGAAACGTAGGTTGGCAGGAAACAGATATGTCCCACAACATGGCAAAAGCCAGTTAAAAATATGTGAGGTGAGAGAAAAAAAAAAAAAAAAGTTGAATGAGGCTGTGTAGCACACGGAGCTTTTCCGAACGTCCGAACATGTTCGGGTGTTCGGCCGAACGCCACCTGAACGTGTTCGGCCGAATATATTAAAAAAAAAAAAAAAAAACATTTTTTTTTGGTTTTTTATTTTTAACTCGAGTTTGGTGACGAATTTCAGCCTACCTCCAAGGCAAACGTTGTTTGTATTATTATTTTACATAATATATATTGTTTTCACATTTTTTGGAGATTCGGTCCCGAACGTTCCGGTTCGGTCACAGAACCCAAACACGACGCTACACAGGAATGAGGCAACAACGTCCAGCATGCGGCCGACATTCTGCAAATTTGAGTTTGGCTGAAACAACCGGCCTTAGGCTCCCCCCCCCCAAAAAAAAGAAGGAAAGAAAGAAAGAAAGAAACAGCCGCCCCCCTCCTTGGGCCTCGCCAGGCTCTGGCCCTCGCCACACCACTCTCGAAATGTGAAAACCACAAAAATGTGGTGGGTGCATCTGGCCATGTTCTAGCGCCAAAGTCATTCTCATTTCGCACACTTCTAGAGTGGTGTGGCGATGCCCTCTACTCTCGAAACTGGCTGTTTTCGGGAGTCCACATCGCCAGTGGACTCACCAGACCAGCTCGCGAATTTCATCTGTCAGATCGGATTCGGTAGCTGTCAGCATGAGGCGGAGCTCCCAAGTGCACTCCCGAAAGTCACCTCGACAGTCCTTCGGGACATCCGTTAAAAGGATTGGAACCATACAGAGAGAGAAGATTAGCATGGCCCCTGCGCAAGGATGACACGCATAAATCGAGAAATGGTTCAAATCAAAAAAAAAAAAAAGGTCACGCCTGCAAAGTCGCATTTTCGGGAGACCTCCTTCGGACCTCCACCTTTGATCCGAGATTCGGGCGTACATGTGAATGGGATTCGGGCGTACATGTGAATGGGACAAACCTACTACTGTCAGTTAGTCTGAGACTGCTTCACACAGCAAAGTCTGGACGTGGCAACTGTCATTTTCAGAATGGGAGAACGGCCCGTTCGAGAGTGCAGTCTGGCGAAAGGCACTCTCGAGCGGGATTTCATCTTGGAGAGAGAGAGAGAGAGAGAGAGAGAGAGAGAGAGAGAGAGAGAGAGAGAGAGAGAGAGAGAGAGAGAGAGAGAGAGAGAGA